ATGAGAAATTGTATGAAAAATTATGAGAACAATTTTTACCAGGAATGACATGTGTACGCCTTTAAATGGCCATTTAACCGTTGTACTATTCTATACTTGTACTCGTTATTTCTCTATTATTGTTGTTTTTTTATAAAAAATGTGTAATACAATTTTAAAATATAAACATTGTTTTTTATTGTGTATATGTGTACAATTATTGCACAATATAATTATCTTGACTTCTCTGCAGCATGGTGTGTATGTGAAACTGCCCCATTTAATAACGTACATATAGCCCTTAATAGAATTAAATAGCCTATCTAGGAAACAGAATCTGCGCGCAATCTGCCGTCAGTTTGTCGTCAGAATCTGTCGACAGACTCTGCGCGCAGTCTGTCACCAATCTGTCGTCATAGACTGCTAAAACAGTCTGTTGCCATTCTGTCAACAGATACTGTTGACAGACTCTGCGTAAAATCTGCTCGCACAGGTTTGGCTATCTGGGTATATAATTATATATAATTATGTATAATTATATATATAAATTCATATATAATTTTACATAATTACGCATAGATTTATATGTAATTATACATATTGTTATACATAATTGTGTATAATTATATATAATTTTATATGATTATATATAATTATACATAATTATGTATGGACAAATTTCATACATAATTTTGCATGAAAAATTTTTCATCGGAAAGTAATATTCACTACATGCTTTAAATGTTTCGAAGAATTGTAGAGACCAATATTCATCTTTCAGTCAGCGCTCTAAAGCGCTTCTAGTGTCAATATCTGGATAAATATATTTTACATAAAAATTTTATGCATATATCTCTAACTTCTCTTTTATTATATGAAATATTTGGACTAGTTTATTTTTGTTATTATACTAAATAATATTATAATTACTGTTTCGACTGCGCATATGGGGATAATACAAAACACTTAATATTAGTTGAAGAAGTAGCGCAGTAGCCAAGATGATAGACTAGAAACCTAGAGGTATCTGAAGTTCTCGAGTTCGCATCCGATTAGTACGAAATAAATGTTCAGATGTGAAAATAGTGAGAAATTAAATAGAAGAGTTAAATTTCACTTAAAATCAACATAAACTAATTAGTTGAAGATATATAAATTATTTTGTTATTAATTGCTCGTTAATATAATGTTCTGTACAAGGTTTCTGTAATGTTAATGGAATGAGTATGAACGAACATTTTCATGTTATAGTTAGAAAGTTAATAGCAGGCTTATTAACCTCTTGTAATGTTACTATCTTAGAAGTTAAGGTTGCTATAATTTTATGGCAATATTAATGTGCTGTGAGGGAACCTTTTAATATTAAGACAATTTTAAAACTAACCGTATATAATAAATCCATATGACTTCTATTAGTCATCTATATAAGTTCCATAAAAAATCTAAGATTAATCTATATTACATCTAATGCATATCTATGAAAACGTTTAATAGACATAGAATGGAGATTTGAAATTCGGAACTGTAGATGTCCAGTAG